CCTGCTTCCTCCCCGGCATCGGTCGGGTCACGCCGGTCTTTGGGCATTGCTGCGGCGTCGCCGCCGTCACGGGCGGCTACCGCTGACTCGGCTACCGCTGACTCGGAGGGCTAGCGAGGAGGACTACCTCGAGCGGTACCGTGTTCATGTGTCCAGCCTCCCTCCGTCCGCTGCCCCAGGCGGACCCCCGGGCAACGCCGGCTCCTTGTCGGCGGCTGCCCTTTCTCCGTCCGCGGCCGCCCGCTTTGTGGCGGCAGGGAACGTCTCGACTGACAGTGATCAGTCGGCTGCCTCCGGGTATCGCGTCTAAGGGATTTTATTCCTCCTGCATGCTCCTGCTGCTTGTTGCTTGATTGCTTGACCCTTAGGCTGCTTGTCTGCGCGGCTTCGCGCTTGGGCTGGCGATGCCGCGTCTGGTTGTCAGCAGTGCTGGTTCTTTTCGGGCTTGTGTTTTGTGTGTGATTGTGCAGCTTCTCGCTGTGGACTGTGTGCCTGCCGGTTCAGCTTGTTCCTGCTTTGTTTTGCTTGAGGCACTTTTTACCTTCTGCCAGTAAATCCATTGGTCCGCCTTCTCGGCGGCTGCCCTTTCTCCGTCCGCGGCCACCAATTTTTAACGAGCTAATGGATTTGAAAGTGGTCAGTCGGCTGCCTCCGGGTATCGCGTCTAAGGGATTTTATTCCTCCTGCCGCATGCTCCTGCTGCTTGTTGCTTGATTGGTTGCTTGACCCTTCGGCTGCTTGTCTGCGCGGCTTTGCGCTTGGGCTGGCGATGCCGCGTCTGGTTGCCAGCAGTGCTGGTTCTTTTCGGACTACGGATTTACTGGCAGAAGGTAAAAAGTGCCTCAAGCAAAACAAAGCAGGAACAAGCTGAACCTCCAGGTCTCGCTGTGCGCTGTGTGCCTGGAGGTTTAGCTTGTTCCTGCTTTGTTTTACTTGAGGCACTTTTTACCTTCTGCAAGTAAATCCATTGTACCTCCTAGGCACACAGCGACCAGCGAGAAGCTGCACAAACCCACACAAAACACAAGCCCGAAAAGAACCAGCACTGCTGGCACCCAGACGCGGCACCGCCAGCCCAAGCGCGAAGCCGCGCAGACAAGCAGCCGAAGGGTCAAGCAATCAAGCAACAAGCAGCAGGAGCATGCAGGAGGAATAAAATCCCTTCGCTCATTTCTTGACCAGCACTTCCTCTCGTCTCACCCTCGAGCGATTCAGTTCGGACTCGATCGAGACGGCTGTCTGAAGTTCTCGCAAACCGCGTCAGCGCTCCTGCCCCTTCACGCTCGCGGTGATGATGAGGATGTTGCCAACCCCACAGTGCTGGTGAGCTTGGATGCAAAGAACGCCTTCAACTCCCTCGACCGCCAGGCTCTCTTCGATGCAATCGAGGGACGTGCGAGTCGCGACTACTTTGATGGGAGCATCACTGAAGGCGCAAGCTTGCCCTCTTGCGAGCATCTCCGTTTGTTCGCCTCCTACCTCTTCAGCTACTATGGAGACTCTGCTGACCTTCGACTCTTTCACAAAAGTCAGTCAGCCTCCGTTCAGTGTACCTCGGGCGTCTGTCAGGGCGATGTCCCCTCCAGCGTGTTTTTCTGCCACAGTATCCACCCCCTGCTCCTCCATATCGCAGAGCTTTTTCCCTCTGTTCGAGTCTTGGCCTATGCTGACAACGTCGTACTTGTCGGTCCACTCGAGGATGCCGTTGCAGCTACGTCCGCTATGAAGAAGTACATGGTGGCTGATCTGAAGCTAGAGATTCAACCTCGCGAGTCGAAAGTTTACATCCCCTCCTGGCATCAACACCCTGATCTCTCGCAGCTGAAGAAGAGCCTTAAGCGCCGTCTCAAGACTCAACTTCTTCACTTCGAGGTCGTCACTGGCGGGATTACACTTGGCGGCCTGCCTATCGGCACGGATGGATTTCATGCTAGTCAGCTCCGAGCGAAGGTTTCTACCCTCAACGAAGAGCTCTCGAAGCTCGGGCTCGTCCAGCATGGCTTCATGTTCAAGACGCTGGTGAGGGCGAGCCATCTCCAGAAGCTGCGCTTCTTCCTCCAGGGGTCTTCTCCGTTTCTCCCGCGGGTCCAATCACAGATTCGTCGCTTTGACCTCTCTGTCCACCTGGCGCTTGAGAAATACCACCGCTGGCCTTCCTCGCAGTACCTCGCCGCGCATCCCGACCTGCTAGAGTTTGCGAGGTTCAAGCGGGAGCTTCCGCATGGGCATTGCCGCGGCGTCGCCGCCGTCACGGGCGGCTACCACTGACTCGGCTACCGCTGACTCGGAGGCTAGCGAGGAGGACTACCTCGAGCGGTACCGTGTTCCTGTGTCCAGCCTCCCTCCGTCCGCTGCCCCCAGGGGGGCCCCCCGGCCAACGCCGGCTCCTTGTCGGGAGGTGCCCTTTTTCCGTCCGGGGGCCCCCGCTTTGTAGCCGGGCGGACGTACCGACTGAGAGAGAAAGGCGGCTGCCTCCGGGTAT